CCTAATTTACATGCAGGTTGATGAAACTGACACAAGTTATTTTTTACATCACCATTGTTTGGCACAGTGTTATTTTATGTTGTGAAGAAAGCTGCATGATGTCATGTCAGTTATAAGTAGACCTGTCTTCAAATCAGAAAGATGTCAAACGCCCCCCTAAACTCACAGTTGGTAGTTATCATAAATGGCACTTGTTCATTGGATAAAATTATTAATGTTTTTAGTTTGAAACATGCAGTTGTGTGTTATCATTGTTTGGCACAAAATGTTGTGTTATAAATAAAATTAAATGAATAATAAACAAAATCAATGTAAAAAACTCCTCTAAGCCTGTTTGAGATAAATTATCACTTTAATTTAATTATCTGAGCCATAAGTGAGTTTAAAAACAAGACGATGTAACTAGTTTAATGAAGAATCTGTCTCTAGTTGTCTCTAATTAAGTCTTTATTTGTGTAAGTAAAAATATCATTAACTTGTTAAAATACATTAGAAATCAGGAAACAGCTTCTATTTTATTCAAATTTTTCTCGGGGAGGACCCCCAGACCCCCTCCAGTGTGTCCTTTACACACATTACAAGCCTTCTGATGCCCCTGTTAGAGAGCATAAATACATACCTGAAGAGCTCCACCTGTGTCTGTATGAAACTATGGCTGATTATCAAACCGTATTCTCAGTGAGTTTAAAGTACTGATACAGTACATGGTTTAATAAAGGTGAACATAATCTCAGTTAACATGGTTTGACTGTTATTGCATCACAAAAGAAACATTTGGTGTTCAGTTTGATGTGCGCAGGACAGTTAAATTGAGCACGTCTTGTACCAAATGTTTGTCTAAAGATCAAGGTTAAATGGTTTTAAATCAAAATTTGATATAGTTTTATGGATCACAACATTAGTACACAAACCAGATGTATCATAATGTTTTAGGTATTTCAACACAGGGAGGCCAAATGCATCAATACAGCTGGTGAATGAAATAACCACTCATCAATATAATCTGATCTGATAGCAACTTAAAACCCTCATTATGCTTCTTTATTTAAAAGAATACACCCCTTTTTTCTTTTTTCTTTTTTTTTTCTTTTTTTTTTTTTGCGTATGCACCTCGTACACTGGCATGGATAGAGGCCCACTGACATAGAGAGTGTACAGGGCCCAGAATTTGATGCCACACCCCAGACTGGCGCGAGGCTAGTGTGAAGTGTGTGGCGGTGGAGGGGCTCAGCAGCACCCGCTGGACAGAAACTGTGATAGGTCAGAAAGAGTGATAGTCAGTCTCCAAACACAAGCAGCTACAAAAAAAACCCACCAGAAATAGAAGCTCAATTTGTTGCTAGCTGTTTTTAACAAAGAAAATACAGCTAAAAGGATTAATAAAGTCTGGTTCAACTCAGAACAGAAACAAAACTAAAAAAAAGCTCCCACGGAATGTTTACACCTAAAGATCGCTAATTCGCTCATTTTGCTGTCGATCAAAAAGGGATTCAGCCTCAGACAATCATCCAATCATCATGTAGAAGCTGAGCGTCCAGGCCAGCCAAGGTCAGCCCACTGCCCCATAGAACCCTAGAGACGCTGAGCGTCCGATGGGCGGGACAAAGCTCAGCATTAACCAATGACTTGTCTCGTTTCGCTGCACACTTTGCTGCACTGTTGAACTATGTGGAAGCTCAGCGTCCGCACTGTTTAAAGCACTGTAAAGCTGCGGGAATGAGTGAGAGGAAAGCCGCATCGTTACCAGTGAAAAGAAGCTGATTCTAAGCAAAAGTTGAGCGCTTTGTAGCGCATATTTAGTCAATGACATGAACACACAACATTTAGGGGAAGCTGAGGCTTGTACCTTGTACCTTGCAGTCTTATGCTGCGTTCACACCGAACGCGATTTCAGCTTCAAAATCGCAGCCAACGCTGAAGTTTGAAGCTTGTGCACTTTGAGGTCAGACGCAGGACAGCTCTTGAAGCGCTGCACGGCAGAGCCTCCCCGCCCCTCCCTCCTCTGTCGGGCTGTGTTTAATGTCGGACGAGGAAGTGGCTTTGCTTTATTTACAGAGAGCAAGAGCATGTCACGTTCATCAGATAATTAATTCATAATTAATTCACCAGATAATTCAGAGTAGAGGCTCACAGCTCACTTTCAGGACTATTTTTCCAGTCTGAGTCGCTGCCACACATTGGTGCTGATATCTCCTGTCAGGACACCGACTGCAGGCACTGGATTTCAGCTAAAGAGCTCCTCTCCATCTGTTTCAGGTTAGTGGACATCATTCAGTAAACTGTCCAGTCGGGAAATATGTCTCTACGTCACACAGTAGAGTCTCTCTGATTGGTTGACGCGTCACGTCGAGCTGTAAAAGTTCAGATTTTCTAACTTCAGCGATTTGCGCCTCAGCGCGTCGAATGCTCAGATCGTTCAAATCGTTCAAATCGCGCTGCTCTAATCGCGCTTGAGGCGCCGCAGCACTTCCCGACGCTGATTGAAGCGCGTCCACCATAGACTTTGCATGTAAACCTGATGCTCCTGATGCTGAAATCGCGTTTGGTGTGAACGCACCATTAGAGCAATCGCCTCTGCCGTGCACCCCACCCCCTCCACTACTGAACTTCTCTGGTATTTTGATGTACGCTCAACTCTTTCAGAAAATGCATGTTAACAGAAAAAAAGTTGTTTCACTGCCCCCTACGGACCCCTGTTTGGCCACACCCCTTTTCTATTGTGACCATCAAAATTAGGGGTACATAAAATTTAAATGCCAATATCTTTGCTATAAACCAACCAAAATTTAAAAACAGGATATCAGCAGATTTGTACTGACTAGCTCTTCAATTTAAATGACATTTCATTAAACAAATATGCAAACAGTGATGTCATCAGTGGGTCAAAAGGTCACAACCCCAACAGAAGATGAGTTTTTAGTCTGTGGGTTAGGGTGGGTCACCATGCACACCCCACTACAGAACGTTTCTGGTATTTTCATGTACCCTATGGTCTACTCTTTCAAAAAAAAGCATGTTAACAGAAAAAAATTTGGGTCTCACTGCCCACCAGGGACCACTTTTTGACCACACTCCTTTTTCCTTTTGACCATCAAAGTTAGGTATATACAGGAAACTTAACTGCCAATAACTTTGCTATAAAACAACCAAATTTTAAAAAAAAGGTATCAGCTGACTCATATTGACTAGCTCTTCGACTTAAATGACATTTCATTAAACAAATATGCGCTCGATGATGCCATCAGGTGTTAAAATGTCACTACCCCAACAAAATATGACAATTTTCATCTTTTTAGTCTGTAGATTAAGGTGGGTCACCATGCATACCCCACTACTGAACTTCTCTTATCTTCTTTAGTACTGCAGACTTTACTCCAAGGAATTTTGTGAAATTATTTACTGATTGTTACAGCTCCAGACATGTTACGCACTGTAAAAAAATCTTTAAAACATATTCTGAATTATAAAGTCACTACAAAACATAAATTCATTGTGGGGTTTTGTTCCAGTCCTGGTGAAAGAAATTGTGTGTTTAGTGTACAAACATGAATTATACACATGAAACGGATTCAGAGTTAGACTGAGTGTTTATTTGCACACACAGAGATTACCTCAACCTTTTGCAGCTGGGTCAGGTACTCAGAGCATCAAGTCACTGGCAATTGGCACTGTTCTTTCACAACATAGTAGTTTTAACATCTCTCTTCAGAACGGAATCATGCCTTCTGGAAATTACATAATTGAAAAAGGGGACATGACCTCACCTATCAGGGTGACCCAATTCACAAACAAGTCCTAACCTTAAGTTAAATGTAGAAACTTCATGTGTTTCATTGTGTTGTATCTGTGCAATGTGTGTAAATATTCACTAGGAACTTGTTCTCACAACAGCAGTATTTTAATAACGGTATAAAAATAAACTGATTGCTCATTGATTATAAAAATATTCTAAACATCTCAATGTATATGAAATGTATTTGAGACTCACACTGGTTTAGTTTGTGATTCCCTTTTAGGCTTAAACTTGCAACTTTATTTCACTGTTTTGTCCTTGTCATGGAAAAGTTTTTTGGCTTTAGTCTTAACATTTTGACTTGTGTGTCAGCAAAACTTGGGGCCTATAACACTGACACTGAGCAATGCAGGGGACAGAATGGCGTGCAGCCGGGTGGCTTGTGTGATGCTGGCAAATTTGTATGTCAAGGAAATAACATTGTTTTGGAAGGCAGAACACCATTTATATTGTGAAAAATTGGCATTCAAGCTAATTTAGATTTATAGGTTTGGCTGTATGTTGTTTTTAAGACCTAAATGATGAATGCCACACTGATTTATGTTTCTCAAAATACAACCATTTCAAGATATTTTAGGGACATGCTAGCAACATTAAAAAATAAAACTCCTCTTAATTGCTGCTGATTGAGCTAATAGAAATTAAATGAGCCAATAGCAACACAGTCTTCTCATTTTTATCTTATGACACACTAAAAGACTTTGCTTAAACCGTTTGAGTTGGCATAAAATGATTGTGCAGTCTCAGCAATCCAAAAGATTGCTTACTTTAAAAATGTATCATTCTTGAACAAAACATTTTTAATGTTTTTAAACACAAAAGTTATCACTCCTTGTAATTTCCCATAAACAGTTTAGTTTGTGACTTCCTTCACTGCCAGCTCAAAGTAATTTTCATCTCTCATGTCACCTCTTTACGTTTTTAAACAGAAGCATGGTAAAAGCTAAAATAACCACAGGCCCCCTCAGTAACATAGATCTCATAGGTAATTCAACATTATTCCTAAGAACTTCTTCTAAAATAGACAGTTTCACACTCTCCTGCAGTAATGCACTTTATTGGTCTTTAAATCCACATTAGACTTTTGATTTATGATACCTCTGAATCCCCTGCAAAGACTTTGTAAAGATCTCCTTGAAAACAGCTGATCTGAACATTACTATGCCTGTTCTCTACCCTCACCCCACTCTCCTCTCCCCACCCACAGGTGCCGCAGCCTTGTCAGGAGCAGTGACCCACACTGTTTCAACTGCAGTCATTGTGTTTGAGCTGACTGGCCAGATATCCCACATCCTGCCGGTGATGATAGCCGTGATCCTGGCCAATGCTGTGGCTCAGTCCTTGCAGCCCTCACTCTATGACTCCATCATCAGGATCAAGAAGCTACCCTACCTCCCAGAGCTGGGCTGGGGTCACCATGAGTATGTACAGTAGACTGTCAGCACACGCATTACACCCATTAGTTTCTTTCCACGTAGAAGAAAAACCTGTTTTCAGTTCTTTCGTCATTTTTGTAAGTGTGCATTACAGAAAATCATACACTTTGAGGAAAAAGAAAACGATTAAAAAATGAATGATCTATCGCGCACCACCCTTCATCAGAAGTTTTATCCATCCATCCATCTTTCCATAATCTTCTGCCTTTTCTGAGTTGGGTCACAGTGGCACCAGCTTGAGCAGGGAGGCCCAGAGTCCCTCTCTTTCCCCAGCCACCTCTTCCAGCTCTTCTGGGAAGATGTCAAAACAGTCTCAAGAGATATGGTCTCTCCAGCATGTCCTGGGTCTTTCCTGTGGGCTCCTCCGAGTCGGACATGCCTGAACCACATCCCTATGGAGGCGTCCAGGAGGCATCCTTACCAGATGAACCACCTCAACTGGCTCCTTTTGATGTTCCAATCTGAGTCTCTCCTAGATAACTGAAGTTCTCATCATATCTCTAAGGGAGAGTCCAGCTACCCTGCAGAAATAACTAATTTCAACAGTCTATATCCCTGATCTCGTTCTTTTGGTCACCACCCAAAGTTTGTGGCCAAAGGTGAGGGTAGGAACTTAGACCGACCGATAAAACAGAGAGTTTCACCTTATATTTCTGGTACCTCTTCACCACACCAGATAAAATATAGTCAGATGCAGATTTGTCATTTCTCAACATAAAATTATCTTAGCAAGAGTTTTAAACTAAGACAATTTATGAGAAATGATGAATCTGTATTTGTTTTAGTCAAACCTTGAAATTCACATTACGTGTAATCATCATCTACGGCTGTGGTTCTCAATTCCAGTCCTCGTGACCCCACTACCCTGCATGTTTTAGTTGTTTCCCTGCTCTTCAGCAGGTCTTTAAGTTCTGCAGAAGCCTGTCAATCACTCGTTCATTTAAATCAGGTGTGCCAAAGCAGGAAAACAACTAAAACATGCAGGAGAGTGGGTCACAAGGACCCAAGTTGAGAACCACTTTTCTACAGAATGTGTTGTGAATGACTCTCAGCTACTCCACAACACATCTGGATACATGTGAAAGTGACTGAGTTGAAGACATTTATGTGTTGGCTGATGTCACTTAGCCGTGACAGCCATCTTGAATCGGACTGACTCCATGTTATTCAGTTGCAGATGTATTTCTGAACGTTTGTATGAAATTTGTTTGTGGCTCAAGGTGGGCCAACTCGAGGTTGAATCACACACACACACACACACACACACACACACACACACACACA